AAGATATTTTTGATGAAATCCGAGAGCTCTCTGACCCTCCCATAGACAGCAAGGTAACTACCACGATCAAGGTCCAGAAACGTAGTAAGGATGTTGTTAAAATGGTCCATGTGACATCAGGGGCTCAACTGTAATTTTACGAAGCTACGAGAATACTTTTTGTGCACAAAGAAAACAAAAATGATTTTATTCAACGATTTCTTCTCTTTGGGGACAGTCCTCCGCCATTATGATCATAGATCATGGTAGGACCCTTGCTGTCTATGGAGGGGCAGAGAGCTCTCGGATTTCATCAAAAATTCCAAAGATGAATGAAGGTCTTGAGGGTGAGTAATTAATGACAGAATTTTCATTTTTGGGTGAACTATCCCTTTAATTGCTGAAATAGATGTCAGTTTGTGAACAGGTTTCAAACATTTACAAAATTTGAATTAGTTTTTAATTTTTGTATTTTCCATTTTTAGTAATTTTGTTGTGTTTTTGTTTGTTTGTTTTTTGCTAGCTTTTTATGTCTATATGATTTTATATATTTTTTACAATTTTATTTCAGTTTTAGTTTAATTTTAGTACATCAAGTTAAATAAAAATTAGAAATATTTCTTTGGCAACTAGCAGAAAAAGCAGAAAAAGTTTGTTGTATTTTATTTTATTTCATTTAATGTTTATTTTATTTCAAGTGACAAAAATTCTTTTTTTAAGGTTTTAATTTTACTTTCAGTTAATTAATAACCCTGGTTCAAGGGTTGTGGCCAATAGCCTATCAGCTGAAAAAGCATGTGTGGTTGCATCTATACCATACTATTTAAAATGTTCTTCGATTTGAGACACACTGGCTATATGTTCAGATTAGCAGTACATAGTATGCAAATATAGTTTTATGACAGGATTCCATTAGCATGCAACATGATGTGGTGATTTGTGACAACATGTTGCATTAATGTGCAGTAAACTAGTATTCAATTCTGGGATGCAGCCATGTTCTTACTTTCTCTTTTTGCAGATGAGTTAGTACAATTTTTAAGATTTGAATTCATTGGATATTGTTTGTGATTTATACCGTTGGTTAGATCCTAACATCTTCAGCTGGACAAGGAGGAAAAGTGAAGAACACCTCTTTCAATTCTGTCTTTTTCTCTCTGACTCTCACTAGCTGTTCTATTGTGTTTGCTAAATGTGGCAGGCCATAAAAACAATGTAAATCTGGCCGGGACAGGCGATGGGGAAGTGCGTGAAAGACTGGATAGTCCATCTTTTATTTCACACCCCTAAACCTGTGGCCTGTCCCCTCCTTTTCCCGCTTCCCTCTCATTGCGATCCAAACTGTCACCTTTTATGGGAGTGTGTGATGGCTTCACTGTGTATGAGTGAGCGAGAGAATCTGGGCTAAAGAAAGAAAAGCCGTGATCGAAGGCCCCATTCACAGCTTTCTTTAACAGCCTTATTAGCTGGAGTGAATGGGAACGTTTCTTTTATGAGGAAGGGGGGAAAAAAAGCAGGAGGCTCGGGCAGCCTGGTGGAGAGGAGAGAGGAAAAACAAGAGGGAAAGGCATATTCGCCACAGTTCCCTCCTCCTCTCCTAATCCCGCTCTGCTCCGCGACTCTTTAGCTTTCTCCTTCGGATCGGTGAAAGGGCCTGTCCAATGGAGAAGACAGTTTGGAAGAGGAGTGTGGAGCGCGGCAGGGGGGCCCCTCAGTCTCTGACATTTAGGGGTCATTGATTAGGGAGCCTCCCTGTGTGAGCGCTGGGACAGAGAGGGCTCCACGGGGGAGCTGCGTGAGGGAGTCTATCAGGCACAGCTAGTAATGCTGGGAAAATGACAGGCTCCGTATGAAACAGTATGGATGATATGTAGTGCAGCTTACACAGAGATTAAAGGAAATTACAAATCCGTCATTATTTACTCACCCTCATGTCTTTCCAAACCTTTTACCAGTCTTTACACAGCTCTTTTGCATATGAAAGACAGTTTATAGTGCCCATTTCTTTTAAGATCACAAAAATAGCTATAAAATATCGATTGATAGTTTTGTGTTAGAAAGATTGACAGTTTTCTGTTCTTTTGAAGCTCTGAAATCTGTGATTTTCCATAAATCCATGAAAAAATAATAATCAAAAACGTTATAGCTTAAAACCATTGCTTTAAACAAGACAAAATTATGATCTGATCATGGCAGTTTTTAACAATATGGTATATTCCACTTAAAAAATAACCAATTAATTACTTATTTTTATTAATTTATTGTATGTGTTTTAGATTTAGACAATTTTTTTTTAAACCTGGTTTAGACTTTCAGAAAAAGTATACACTACTGTTCAAAAGTTTGGAATAATTAAGATTTTGTACAAATGTTTTTGAATGAAGTCTCTTATGCTCACCAAGGCTGCATTTGTTTGTTAAAAAAATACATAAAAACAATAATATTGTGAAATATTATTACAGTTTAAAATAACTGTTTTATATTTTAATATTTTTTCAAAAGTAATTTATTCTTGTGATACAAAGCTGAATTTTCAGCATCATTGCTCCAGTCTTCAGTGTCACGTGATCCTTCAGAAATCATTTTAATATGCTGATTATATTTCAAATAATATTTCAAAATGTTTTACTGCGTTTGTGATCAAATCAATGCAGTCTTGGTAAAAATTCATAAAAAAAAACAAAACGGAATGATTTCAAACCTTTGACCGATTTGACTACATTTTTAATCTCTGTTTTGTTAGATTTGTCAGCAGTGGATGATCTTAAATTGTCAGATTACGCTGATTTTGTACAGTAAAAACTGGTTATTAAAAACTGGATGTTTGTGAAAATCTCAACATTAAATTCTCAACCTGTTATTGCATTAAAACAAATCTCAACATATACTGAATGAATCTTTAAGATGTCACAATGCAATTTCTTAACCTTTACAGACATTCTTTGTCTGACAGAATGTTTTAAAATGTCAAATGCATGGAATGGAAAATGTCATGACCCCTATGCAATTTAAAAGGCCCCGGGGTCTCTGGGGCCCCCAAAGGGTTAATAATCCGACAGATATGCCGCTAGGTGGCGCTGTTGCAGTGAATGAATGGCATTCTGCAGCACTGGAGCTCGTGCAGGGGAGGAGGGAGACCCCCAGCTCCGGACAAACTTTGCAGGATTGCGCAGAACTGCTCGAGTCGCTCGGAGGGAGCTCTAGCTCCGAGGTCTGTGATTGGAGGAGAAAGACCGAGTCCAAAAACTATCAGCCAGGAAACGTCTCGGGTTTCAGGGGGGAGTGACATTTCTTCAGGGGGTTGGAAGGAGAGAGAAAAAAATCTGTGTAAACCTGACAAAGCGTCTGAGAACAGCCAGTATCCTCAGAGACTGCGCTCGTGTCACTGGATGTGTATTTTGGGATGGATGTTTTGTTCGGTGTTTGTTGCAGTGTCGCATCTCTTGTAGCTGAAGACTGATGCGCGTTTGCACGAGCCGTCTGGTGAAGCAACAGCTACTTGGTTTACGGACGAAAAAAAGTTTCTGGGACGCGAAATTTTTTTTTTCCTCTTCTGGAAGGATTTACACAAACACGCACGGATACTATCGGTGGCTCGCTATTGGCATGCGATCCTGTCGTCGGTGCCCCGTTGGATTTGGGAATAGGGAATAGTTTTAGTCGCATTCCTGTCTGGATTCGGCCCATATGAGCTCCCTGTTTATATGCGGATCCTGAACTTCACTATCAGCTCCTTCTCTGTAAGTTACATGTGTTTCTGTTTATATTTCAAGCGGAGGTTTGCTTGTCTTTCATGGAAATACAACTTTTTGTCAATTGTTGCGGCTTTACGCATGTTTCATTTCCTTTAACTTTTAAAATACGCAAACGTATCTTAATTACTAAATATGGTTATATATGACATTAAATGCGCACAAAGTTGGATATTCGAGGCTATATCTAAAGTTACGTGGGGTTCACTGAAAATGTAATAAGTTCTATCTTTTATGATCAGCGATGGCCTCGTCAGACTCTTTTGTCAATGTTATTTAGCAAAATATTTTAAGTTAGTTTATCTAAATGTATGCACACTTTCTTGTTTGCTTTTTTATTTTTTAAAGATGAAGACCGCGTGCAAAGTGTCAAATTATAAATGTATGCTTATTATGAAACATCAGATATTATCACTGTATGAGAAAAATGTCATTTAAAACGGTCGTCTTAAATGAAAGCTGCAAGCCAACGCTATATAAAAAATCATAAAAGTAAACGTCCGTAAAAACCTGTCATATTAATGTTTTTTGTTGTTGCGAAGTATTGCATAAAGTCAAAAATAAGTCAAAATGGTTAAATCACCACTTATATTTGTAGTTCCTCCCCAAGCGTCATGATTTCATTTTTTTTAAAAAATAGGGCAATCATTTAGAACGTGCACATTTTTAGAACACTCCAATCTATTCAAATTCAAATTTGGATTCAGATTAAAAAAGCAACCACTTTTTGTGTTTTTCTGGAACAGTCTGGCCTACCTGTTGTTTCCTTTTCTTTATCTTCTTCTTTTTTATTAAAAGTGTCGTTTAATCATTGTAGTGGCAATTAAAGTATCCTCAGGCTTCCTGCCCTGAAATCTGTGGACAATTAGATCGAACTTATAAAAATGAAACAGACTGACATGAGTTTGCTTTAGAAAGTTTACTTTGCCATTATTAATAATTGGGTTTTGGATTTCCTTAGTCAATAGCCTGTTAGTGATAAACTCACAGAGCAAAGCTCTGTGTTGAAATAAACTAGAATATTATTTGCAAAAATCAACCAATAATTAACTCTAATCATAATTTAGATGCTAATTAGAGTTGACCTAATGATAAAATCTGCCCATTCACAAAGCGATCTAGATAGTCTTCAGTAATAAAATCATGATAAACTCATTAGGGCTGTTTTTTATAATGGGCCTCGATAAAGAACGACCATTAGGTTCAAGTAGCCTAACAATTCAAATGCAATCAAAAACACAGTACAGCTGATTCCAGGGGAACATCAGTGTTTTTCTTTGCATTGGCATTAAATCCTTTCTGTGTATTCTGATTTGAATATGAATAGGACGCTGATTAACGCCTTCAGATTGCTTGCGCACGCATTATATGTGCAGCAGACAGCGGTCTATTAAAACAACGCTTTCGCGAGAAAAGTTCTCTAGAGGTGACGTCATGTATTGCATTGGGAAATCTTTTTCAAAATCCTGCTCGTGCAGCAAACCCGGGAAACACTGACGGTGGTTTGCTCAGTTTCTATCCAGCATGAGCAAAATCTTGCGATCTCTAAGTGCATTAGTTATCAAACCTATGAAGTTGATTGAATGGCGCATGATTAGAAAAGAGAATAAACTACAGTGCTCGTGTTACAGCATCAAAATCCTGCATTGCTCACCTCTCAAGATAAAAAAAAAAAAAAAAAATCTGCAGAGGAACCCCACCAGCTGTCAATCATCTCACAAGCATTAAAGCCTGCTATGAATGCAAGCGCGCGATCACAGAACAGATCAATACCGCACTTACGCGCCAGATCTCCAGAGAGTGACTGACTGACTCCCGCGTTTTCAATTCATTTTCAGTGGTCATGTTTTGAATGTTTGAAATCGCATTTTTGAGTTCTAAACTGCCAATCAAGTTGATTCTTTTAGAATAAGAATGGAATGCAAGTCATGTGATAGAAGTGATGTAATAGATAGATCGTTAAAAAGATATGTATATCTTAATGCTTGGGATAAAAGTGTCTACTAAATGTATTTAAACGAATACATGGGAACAAAAATAGTTTGTTTGCTAGATGAATTACCGCCCTGATAAAATAAATCACTGTTTAATAGTGATGTTGGAAAATTGTCTTCTACATTAGTAGCCTGTCAGTTCTGTAGAAAGTTAGCCAGAGTTGCAGGTAGCTCTTGGTGCTTTGTCTGGTTAGTGTGTAGGTGTCAGATAGTAGGTAGGTCTAAAGCATCAGAGCTTTGGTATGTCTGTGGCAAGGCTCGTTTAACAGCATTTTGACACGTGGGCCTTTAGTTTCTATCTGTCTCTTTCATAACTAGGCCCACGCACTCTCTGCAAGATAGTTGTGCTTCAGAGTCAACTGATTTGAAATATTCACACTAGATATGTAGGGCCATTCCATGGAGTGTTAACCAGAGTGTTTTATGGATTGTGTATGGCAAAAAGACTTTTTTTCTAATTGTTTCTCCTCTTGTTTTTATTTTGGGGATCCCCTGTCTCATCACTGTCCTCTCTGCTGCCCTCCTCAGCCCAGGTGATCGGTGGGAATTCCAGTGAGTGTCCGACTGTACAGCCTGCAGTTCATGGTTGGGTGGAGCCCCTCAGATGGGATCCGTGTCCAGGGGGAGGCCGAGGAGGGGGGGATGGGGAGACACGCCCACTGCTGACGGGATGTCCGCCCGAGGGTGGCTTCTGGGTGCGCTCCTGCTTTTGACCCTGGCAACGGCGTCCGTGGCAAGGCCATCGTCAAAGATTGCTGAAAAGGTGGAGACTGCGAGTGAACGTGAAGGTAAGGAATAAGAGCGATGGAATATCGTTCAAGGAACATTCCTAGTTTTTGCAGCAGGATCTTGTTAGGAATTCTCGATACTTCAGTGGCGACAAGGAAACAGATGCTTCTTTACTGCTTAATCGCTATAAAAACAACCTTCTTCTCCTACGCAGCTGCACCTATGTGTGAAAATATTTGTTTTTTTATTGGGGGAAGTCTTGGGGAAAATAAGGAATTGGGATTTTAAGGAATTTGGAATTTCTCGTGGTATAGGTAGGATTCCTCATGGCTTCATACATCATTAGTTAGTGCAGATTTATGGGATTTAACTTTTCATGAACGGTTGTGTTCAGCCCTTCAAGACAGCCAGGAAAGTTCTGAGGAGGTGCTGGTTTGCAATGATGTGTGGTTTGGAGGTTTTATGAGTTGCTGTATGCAAACCTTAGGAAGTACTTCTTTTGCATGGAGCACGTCTTTGAAACTCCTATAATTATGTGGAGAAATCGGTTTAAGCGTATATCTGGCGTCTTTGAACTGAGAACCCCGAGGTTTTATAATGTATGGAATTATTGTTCGTATGCTATATACTCACAGCAGCTCGTTTCAAAAGAGTCGCTTTTAGGATTTTTGTGGTTCCACTCGTAACGTCTCTTTTCCTTTCTCCCCCCATATTTTCTCTCTCTCCATCTGTCGGAGTTTAATGTTGTTCAGAGTTGAGGACCACACACATACCTGCTAGTTTGGCATGCAGATGCAAACCAACCCGTATTAGTTTGTTTGGGAAGAAAATAAACCTTATATGCGTTCCGATTTGAACTAAAATGAAACAAGAGATTCTCCGCTCTTTTTGGAGGTTTCCTGACTTCCTTTTAACGGGATGTGGTTTGTCATCGTCTTCATTCCTAACTCTAAGTAAAAACACTCATTTTATTTGCTTCTTTGGCACTTTCTGAATTCCCAGTGGCGTGTCCTGGCCCAGTTTTGCCACATTCTACCATTAGTAGTTGCGATTATTGATGTGATTTTTCCATTTCGTTTGGGGCAGCAGGGTAATGAGAACTGTTGCGTTGGATAAGTCTGCTTTTGTTCCTCTGGCTTTAATCACTATGTTAATTAAAGGGTTGTCAAACACAATCACTGGAAGCGGTCACCCCACCCCCAACCAACACTTTCCAGATGCCCTTTGACCTCAGGGTTAAAGGAGGTGCATAGTAGGGTTAAAGGGAAAGTTCACCCGAAAATAAAATTCTGACATTACTCAACCTCACGTTGTTCAAAACCTGCTTTCCTTTTTATTTAGAATTGAAAGCAAGATGTTTTGAAGAATTTCTGCTCTTTCCAAACGGCTTTTCAACCAAAAAAACAAAACAAAAAAGGATTAAAATGTTCAACGTATTTTTAAGTCTTTTGATAAAGATTTGTTAGAAATGAAATTGAAGTTGTTATTCACTGAAAATTGGAGTCGACTTTTATGGACTACTTTCATGTTGCTTTTTATCCTTGAAACTTCTTTTTTTCTTCATTTGTATGGGAAAGAGCAGCTCGGAAATGTTTTAAAATATCATGCTTTCCACAAAATAAAGAAACTTACACTTGCTTAGAATGACACAAGGGTGAGCAAATGAAAGATTCTGCTTTTCTGGATGAACTGTTTCTTTAAGAGTAAAGCTTCGCCTAAGTCTCAAATACAAAAGACGTTCTATTGCGCAATATCGCGTTGCATTGTTCTACTAGTTAACTTTTGTCCAAAGTCAGATGCTTAATTTTTCATCTTCTAATGCTAAGTGGTGTATGTTGTGGAACTTTGTAAGACGATTTGCACTTTTCTCTCCTATCATATGATGGAAGATTACGAGAGGTCATGTGACGGAGGATTAAGTGGCTGAAGTGGTGTCATGTGATGCGGATAGGCTGGGAGGTTTTGGAGAGCACTAACCACACCAGTTTCTTGTGGTACAGACGCAACTCACGTAGTTGAATGGTTGAGCTAAACATGTTTAGCTTTTGTACCAATGAACACTATATGTATCAGTTCAACAAAAAAAGCTTGCCATTAAACGCCCACCCCTGGAGGGAAACTACAACAGCCCCCATCTGATGCATGCAAAGCCCACCAAGGGCTCGGTTGTGTTTCTGGGAGGGGTAATTGTTTTAAGATAGCATATCAGTTTAGAATTCCTACAGAGTTTGACATGAGCTGGTTTTTCTGTGAGAGTTATATATGATAGAAATATTCCATTACCTTCCTGAATCAGCAACGTTGCTAACTTAAATGAGTTTTATTTGGAACAGGCTTCTCTGTAGACGTGATAAAGGCTGGGAGAGCGGTCGAAATCTTCTCAGAGGTTGGAAAACAACACATTGTGAAAGTGTGGGAAAGCAAACTTGGATCAAATGTAATCTGACAGGGTTTAGAGCACAATAGAGTTGAAGATCTTCGCCCTTTATTCTCTCGTTCCCTGCCGCCCCATAAGGTTTGTGGTTGGAACCAGAGGTATGGCCAGGCTGACCCAGTGGTGGAAAATGTGGAATCGCACAAGCTTGTTCGGATCGTTATTATTTGCATTGTGTGATTTATTTATTGTCATTGGAGTGGTTCTGCTGGTGTTTTAGTGTGCGTGTGTGCCTTGTTGGTTTGGACAGAATTAGACACAGTCAAAGAGAGCTTTGATGATGTTTAAAACATTGGCTGGAGATCCAAGCGAATCTCTCGCTGTCTTTCCTGCCATCACTCTTTTTTCCAGAATCGGAATCGTCCCCAATTCTTTGCTCTCTGCCTTTTTAGCCCAAGGGTTTTCTTCTCACAACCCAGACGTTCCTGTTCACGACAGTGACAATACCCAAAGCAGAAACAGCAGAACTGTGAGAGATGCTCAGCCTCTCGATAAGCGTGCCTTAAAGTGACCACCTGCATGCAGTAGGGGGTTTCCTGGGCGAATCATTCTCTGTTTATACCAAACGTCCTAAATCATGATAGTAAGTCCCTGTAATAAAAGTGTCAGCTCACACCCTTTGTTTATTGTGTTTTCTCGGGTGAATAAAGCCTCACTCTCCCACTAAACAAACTAAAAGTTTTTTTTTTTCTCCAGAAAATGTTTATGTTGCAATTGGCTGTTGTCAACCTTTGCGGGGTTTTTTGTTTATACATGTGCGCTGTATATGCTGTATATTAGGAAACACAAATGGATTTTGATGGGTAATTGTTTGAAATCTTCAATTTTTAGCACATTATTAGGAGGTTGCCTGAGTATTTCGGGTGCTTGCTAGGTGGTTTTAAGTCATAAAAGGTAACTTTTAAGTTAGTGTGATTTTTTTTACCCCCCATTTTATTCACTTAAATCACTTTGAAACTAACTAGCACACCTCTCCTCAAGAAGTCGCATGATTTGATGCATAATTCATGCCTGTAGGCAGCACAGATGGCACAGAGAAGGTTACGTGCTAAATTTTAAAGTTAGCAATTTGCTCAAATCCCCCACCAAATTCCTGTGTTTATATGTGACTCCAGAGGTTTTGGAGGGAAAGTTGGCCAATGAGATTTGCCCGGATGCTTGTGTTGCCGTGGGCGCCCCTGAGAGGCCTGTGCTTTTGGCTGGGCATGCCATTGTCATGACAATAAAGCTTGCAGAATTACAATTTGAAAGGCGATTGTGATTAGGAAAGAAAAGGAGCGGCTACGGAAGAGTGTTGGGATTTAACTGGAGTAGAAAATGGGAAGGGTGAGAAAATAAGGAAGGAGGGGAACGTGACAGGAGAACAGGGCAAATGCGCAGCTTGCGTAGAGTTAACTTGTGTCTGCCGAACCCCTGTGATCGAATTATCAGCGCTTGCTAAAGTAAGCATCACTACTAAACTTTGAAGTGTGACTCGTCCCACACCTTTTGTCCTATAGAGATGAGTTGTGTGCTTATTGAGGGCAGGTGTGCTAATGCTTTTTGCCATTAGAATTGTAAGGAAGACCTGAGGAATATCTAGAGTCCACAATGTCATCAAGACTTCACGGTGAATCTGGAAGCACCCACCTAGCAACACCATATCAACCATCTAAAATAGCTTTGCAATGGCATAACAATTCACACGAATATCATAATGACAACTTTTGCATGTGCAAAAACTGTTCTGACTAGTTTTTTGTCAGACTGAAGTACTTTGTGTGATTTTAAGTTAGGGCTGCACGATAATCGCATGCGATATATAAAATCGCAGCCCTATTTTAAGTAATGTTTTACATTTTCATTGAATATAATAAATATTTTGCCCATAAGATTAATGGAAGCAAATTAGATTTTTTTGTTGATGTTTTCATTTAATTGTAAGACTCTCATCTAGCATTGTTATTAAAATATATTTGGCATCAACAATGACTGCAAAAAGAATATGCAAAAATGAATTTTCTTTGCGTGATTTTAAATTATCATTCATCATTCATTCAATGAATCATTTTGGCAATAAGATTTAATGGAAATAGATAAAATGTTTTGATGTTTTAATTTAAATGTAAGAATTATTCATTATTATAAAATTACATTTGGCATCCATGTTAACTTTTGCATGAGCAAAAAGTAGTTTATAAAAATTGCAAAAATGCATTTTTTAAATGAATCACGTTCTGATTTTAAGTAATGCTTTAAATTTTAATGTAACAAAATTAGTACTTTGCATTTTTAGTTAATTACATTTGGCATCAATGAAGACTTTTGCATGAGCAAAAACCGAAAAAAAGCAAAAATTCCTATTTTTGAACTGAAGTAATTTTAAGTAATGTTTCAAGATTATGCATTTTTATTCAATTACATTTGGCATCAACTATGACGTGTGCGTGAACAAAAGCTCTTCTTAAGAAAATGAAAAGAAAAAGTTTTTTTTTATTAGATTTTTGATCATTTAGTTTAATTTTATTTTATTAAACTACATTTGGCCTTAACAAATATACTAGTACCTTTATGAACACTTGGGGGTTTGCAACACCCTGGCTGGGAAATCCTGAACAAGTGGAAATAGAGTGTATATGTCTGTTA